CGGGATACGTGGGGCTGGGAGGCTCGGGGATGGGGGGGAGAGTTTGTGAGCCTAGGGGATGTGGGGGCTCAGGCGATGTGGGGCTGGGGGCTATGGGGCGTGTGGGTGTTGGGGCGTGGGGCTGGGAGATTTGAGGGGCTTTGGCGTGGGGCATCAGGATGCGTGAGGCGGGAAGGTGTGGGGGGCGAGGGGTCAGGATACGTGGGGCTGTAGGGAGGGACGGTTTCGTGGCATCGGGGCTCAGCTGCCTGCAGGAACGGGCACCGGCACCAACCGGCAGCTGCCCGCTTTCCCCTGCCTTCCCCTCGCGCCGCGGGGCGGCTGGTCCCCGCTGCCCCCGCGCTTCTGCCTTCCCCTTCGCCGCTTCCCAGCCCGTGCTGGACTTTGCACCCCGTTTTCGCCGCCCCACGACCAAAGGCCGCCGCCGCTGTTACCTCTCGGGGGCACCTCGAGCCTCCAGTGCCGGTGACCGGGCGGTTTTCTGCCCCAGAAAACACACGTGTACTCTGCTCCTCGCTCAGAAACACGGGGCCAGGGAGCAAACGGGCCGGCAGGCAGCGTTAGCACCATGGGGACGTGTCCAGAGTCTCGAGGGGCTGCAGCTTGGCTGCGTGTGAGGGGGAAACCCCCCTCGGAGAACCTGAAATGGGTCAAAATCCATCCCCGGCGACGACCCGGGTCCTTGGCATAGCCGAGTGCGTGCGGATCTGCAGCGGAGACGGGCAAAATCCTCATCGGCCGCGTCTTTCGGGAGCACAGCTGTGCTGGGGTTGCAAAACACGGCTCGTAACTCGCTTCGTCTCCCCCCTCCAGGCCTGTGCTTGGAGCCCACGACGCCCGAGTGGAAGAAACCGCCACCGCGGAGGCCGAAATCGGGGTGAAATCGGGAAGGTTTGTGCCCTGCGGCGTCGGCGTTTGCCGCCGTTGGGAATAACAGCGGGGGGAAGGTTGGATCCTGCTGCGCGAGGATCCCTCCGTGTTTATTTTGTTCCCCAACCTGTTGCTTGGGGAAATCCAAATTGCTCTGAATCCCATTTTTCAATCCCAATCCAAATTTCAGCCCTTTCGCTGTATCTGCTGTCAGCACCGAGCTCGGATGCCAAAAAAAAAAGCAGCCTATTAAAGGTGATTTCTAACTTTTTTGGGGGTGCTGAGCTCCCGCCGAGCCGCTTCAGGGTGCTGCGCCCGGCTTCGCCGGCTTCACCTGGTTTTTAGAAATGAGGAAGCTGACGGAGCAGCCGCCACTTTCGGATTTATCTGCCAAGGTTTGGCTTCGGGATCTCGCCGCGCCTGCGGGCGGAAGCTGAAGGCATGCCGTCACGTGCCTCGCCTTGAGAGGATCTGGAGAGGCACATTCCTATGGGGGAAGACCCTCATCTCGGCACGAAATTCCGGGGAAAAGGGGTTTCTTTTGGTACCTCTCATTTTTTGTACCCCAGCCAAACGCCGCCCTGCACCCAAAGCCGCGTTTTTTTAGGGCGAGAGCTGCTTGTTTCACCTCTCCGCTCGCTCCCCTGGGTGCAGGATGGAGGAAACCCTCGCGACGGGGACGTAGGGAGCGGAACGTGATGCTTGAAAAGGCTTTTGACCCCCTGAAAGTGCCGGGTTTTGCTCCGCGGGTTGGTTTCCTTCACCGTATCACTGGGATGGAGGCGTTGGGCTGATCCTGTCCCCGTGTTCAGCGTCGATAGGGCGCGGTGAAGCTGTTTTTCGAGGGGCGCAGCTTCGGCACGGCTCTCTCGCAGCCCTGGGTTTGTTTAAAGGGCGAAAAGCCCTGCCCCGCGGCGCGGCAAGCTCGCTGCGGGCTCGCTAAGCCGAGAGAGCGAGGGCACGTGAGAGTCCTGGCCCTGAGCGAGAGCTCCCTGCGGTGTTTATCGTCGGCGGAGGAAGTCGAGCTGCGGCGGTGAGACCCGCTTGGCCTTCATCAGCAAAAAAAAGAACTGGGGAACAGGCGCCAGATTTTGCCGGGAGAGATCGGGGAGAAGAGCTGGGGGAGGCGGGAGCGATGCCGGCGCTGCGGTGTGGGGAGGCACGGAGGGATCCAGCTTTCCCGGTCTCACCGACGGATCGCTTCCCTCCCCCCGCCCCAGGTGATAACAACCCCCTCCCACGCCGCCTTCGGGGATCGGCACCGAGTTATGCTTCATCTGACGGCGAGGTGCGTAGCCCCAGCGTCGGGCTGGAGGGCACCCAGTTGCCCAACTGGGAGAGACTGGTGGCGGGGCGCTCCGTGCTTTCCTAACGCTTGTTTTTATTTATTTCTCCGTTTCTTCCCAGCTGGGGCGTCGTCGGGGGCCATCGCCATGTCTCTGTGCCAATGCGCGGTGAAGCACAGCGAGTCGGACGCCGAAGGCTGTTGCTTCTCGGCGAGCGGCGGCTTGAAGGTTTGCCTGCACTGGAGCGGCGAGGAGGAGCGGGAACGGTGCCAGATCTACGCCCAGGGCACGCTCAGCGCCGAGGAGATCTGCATCGACCTCGCGCGGAGGATCGGTGAGCGCCGGGGAAGTCCGTCTCTCTTCTGAGACTGCCATACCCAATCGGGTTACGTCCCGGGGCTGAGAAATTTCCAATTTCCCAATCCCTGCGACCGTCTAAGCTGCTTTATCTGATAAATCTGAGCGCTCGTGTTATTTTTAAGAAGCAGCTTCCTGGTAACAGGCTGTTAGCAAATCCTGTCGGAATTTGGGCATCCCCGCTTGCTCCGGGGTTCCTGAGAAGTGGGGTGGGATGGCTCTACCCTGAGGCTCAGGCCAACGGGTCTGTGAGTTATTGGAGCATGATGAATTGAAGAGCAATTACTTCACCTCTGACTCATCAACATCCCGTTTAATGAGCGCTCTGCCTCCCCTCGCCGTGGATTTCTCCCGGCGGAGGCGCAAAAATCGTGCCGGGCACCCGCGTCTGAGCTCTTCTTGGTCTGAGGAGCCGTTTTGCGGACGTGTTGGTTTGAATTAAGGGCGCCTGATCTCTCTTTTAACCCTTAGGAGAAGATTTTAGTTCTCACCTAAGGTTTAACCAGCAAATCGCTCCCGATTCGCGTTTCCCATGGGTTTTATTAACTTCCCTTCCCCTTGCTGCAGTCTAAGCAGCTCTGCACGGCGGTTTATTTGGAATAAAAAACGGCTGAGGCTCCCCTGGCCAGCTGGCTTTCCCCGCGCGCGCCAGAAGGACGGCAGACGCGCGGCTCTCTTTTAAACGGCGTTTTTAAAGGCTATCCTGCCTCTGGCATTTGCGAGCGGGGACGAGGAGGACGTCTCGGTCCCCGGGGGTGGGGTGTCGGTAGCACGGATGGGTTTCTGCTGCCAGTAAAATCGAGCGGTTGGGAGGAAAGGGGCGAAGAAGGGTTTTTTATAATATTTTTTGCTATCAGCTGTGAGTTTTTGCGGGCTCGACAGCGCCTCACAGGAATTGTGTTTTCTTCGCAGGCATCACGCCGCTGTGCTACAGCCTCTTCGCCCTCTATGACACCCAGAGCCGAGTCTGGCTCCCGCCCAACCACCTCTTCAAAATCGGCAAAGACACCAACTTCAACCTGCTTTTCCGCATGAGGTGAGGCCGCTTCCCTCCGCTCCATCCCCTGCTCCCGTCTTTCCTGGAGCCGAGCCCTGCGGAGCAGCCGAGCTCCTCTTTGCTCGCGGAGCGGAGACGTGCCGGGCTTTAATAGGGCCGCGCTGGAAATAACGCTGCTTGCTTTTCCGCCCCCGAGTTACCTGTAGGGTTTCCAGATTTGCCTGGAAAATATCTGCGGAGGTTGGCGCGGGGTCGGGGAGCCGAGCAAACGCAGCAGGGCTCGTCTAAATCGGACTCGGAAGGATTAAACGAGGAACGGGACGTGTTTGGAGTCCCTGCCTCTCCTTCAGCGTGGAAGGAATTTCCCTCTTCCCGCTACTCCTCCGCCTTTTGTCCTGCCTCTCCCTGGCTGATCCAGCCCGTGCTTCCCCCTCTCAGCTCCATCCCCGAGCGGGACAACGTCCCCTCTGAAGGGTTTTGAGACCAACAGCCAACACCCAAGGGCCTCTCTGGGTGACCCAGGGCTGCGGCGTCGCCAGCTGCGTTCCCGGGAAGGCGGCGGCTGCTTTTTTGTAGACATCTTTGTGAGATACTTGGGTTCCCTGGGGACAACGGGAACGGCGATCTTAGCGTTTCCTCCCAAAACGTTGCCGCTGGCGATTTTATTCGGAGAGCTTTTTCAGGCTGGTTTTGTTGGGGTTTGGTTTTGTTGCTTTTTTTTTTTTTTTATGGTGAGTCATAGCGAAGGTAAAAGCGAGGGAGAAACGGAAAACCTGGCTTGGAGATTTATTAGCCTGTTTTATCCGGCTTGCAATACCACCTTCTTCCTGGGGAACCGCGGCGTATCGAGCCGAGGCCTCTCTCTGCAGCCAGCTGTTGCGCCGAACGCAACGCGTGCAGCAGAAAACGGTCTCCGAGGCGCCGCGCCGGCTCGCCGTGCGGCTGTGCCGTGTTGTCCGAGGAAGGTTGAAGCGGCGGCTGTGGGAGCCACGCTTCCCGGTGTGTGAGGAGGAAGGCTTCGAGTCCCCATGGCCGGCGCCTCCGCGGGAGCAGAGCACCGTGATCCGTAGCTCTCCGGCTGCGGATAAGTCGCAGAGCTCTGACTTTTTGGGCCAGAAAATCTTTTTCCCTTTGGTTCTGGTTTCGATGCCACTCGGCTGGCGCCGGCGCGTTAACCGCAGGTGGAGATGCGGCTTTGAGGGTTGAGCAGTGGGAACCGAAACTCGCTCTGCCCGCAGAGCTCTCCTTGTGCTGATTTTTTTTCTCTTTTTAGATGTCGCGTTTGTCGGGGACGCTCCTCACCCCGCCTGCTCTCCCTTTTTCAGAGCCCCTGGGCTCCAGGCGGCAGGAAAAGCTCGGTGCGGAGCAAACCGGGCTGCGCAACGGCGTTGTGGGGAGCAGTGCTGCTAAAGAGGCGTTTGCAGGTCGGGATGGGTTGCAGCCAGAGTTAATTAGGGTGCCTTTAACGAAGCTTTGCTGACGGGGATGTGTTTTGTGTGCTGTACGGCACAGCTGGTCATAAAACGTGGTGGAAAAAGCTTAAAGGAGGCAGTTTTGGTGGCAGGAAGAGGTTGCTTCCCCTTTGCCTCCCGCCGTCGGAATCGTTGCCTTGTGCTCGGGTCACGCTTTTTGAGGATGTGGCTGATTCTCGTGTCAGCAGCTGGGTTTCAAGAAGTCTGGCTCTTAAAAAAAAAAAAAATAAAACCCAACCCCCACCACTCTGAGCCCGGAGCGGGCACCCTGGCTGCGCTGGGGCAGGGCCAGACCTCTCCGCTCTCGGTCTGCCGGTCCTTTCCCCGTCCTCTTGACACAGCCGGTGACAAAACCTCTGCAAAACCCTTGTTGGGAGCTGGCTCCGGTCCCCCAGAGCCCCCGGGGACGCTGGAACCGCTCGAGGTTGGTTTCACCCATAAATCTGCTCCTTCTGCCCGGCGCAGCGGTTCCAGTGTAGCTGCTGGACCCGGGTTTGGCTGTAGAGGCAAAACCAGGGCGTCTCGGCTTCGAGAGGGGGCAGGGACAGACCACAGCCCTCCCGTCCCCACGTGCGAACGCCGCTCTCCTCTCCTCCTCCCCTCCAGGTACTACTTTCGGAATTGGCACGGGATGAACGACAAGGAACCGGCGGTTTATCGCAACGTGCCCCGACAGAGCGACTCCCCCGACGAGAAGCTGCAAGGAGGAGCCTTGCTTGACAAATCGTCCTTCGAGTATCTGTTTGAGCAGGTAATGAACCGGCCTGACGGGCTGGAGGCTCACTTGCACCTGGAGTTGTGGAAACCTGGCTGATTTTCTCGATCCAGCCGGATTCGGCTCAGCCCTGTTGTCAGGAGCTGTTTTTCCATCTGCGAGGGCTTTGTTTAAAGGACAAACACAGCTGTAGTTTTGCCCTTGGAAAGGCTTTGTCCTGCTCGAAGCCTCTCTGGGAGGCCGGGAGCCGAGCTGAGGGGGACCCCATTACACCTTTAAAATAAAAAAAGACAAGAAAAAGCACTCCAGAAGTCAGTACAGGGCCTTTTTTCCGCCTTTATTTAACTTTTTCTCTTTAATAGGGGAAATTTGAATTCATCAATGACGTCGCATCTTTGAAAGACCTCCAGACCGAGCAGGAGATCCAGAGGTTCAAGAACGAAAGCTTGGGCATGGCCGTGCTTCACCTCTCTCACATCGCCATCAAAAAAGGCATCTCCCTTGAAGAAGTGGCCAGAAAATACAGGTGACTGCTTGGCCTCCCAGCCTCGGGGCCGGGGACTTTCTGCTCTGCGGTGCTTTCTTCTGGTTTCTCACCCTCTTTCCTCTCCGTCCTCCTCCCCGGGAGCGATTCTGGGGCTGGTTTAGGTGACGGAGAGATCGGTTGTGGCTTCTCCGGCTGCGTGTTTAGGTGTAGGCGCCCGTGAGGTCTTGCTGAGTGGTCGTTCCTTCCCTCCCGCAGCTTTAAGGACTGCATCCCGCGCTCCTTCTACCGCCAGATCCAGCAGAACAACTACCTGACCAAATTCCGCATGAAAAACGTCTTCAAGAAGTTCGTGCAGCGTTTCCAGCGGCACACGGTCAGCACCGGCAAGCTGACGGTGCAGGACATCATGTACAAATACCTGGCTACCTTGGAGCACCTCGCGCCTCGCTTCGGGAGCGAGCTCTTCCCCGTCCTCTCCTTGGAGACCTCCTCCGAGGGCGAGAAGGTGCAGCTGTACGTCAACGGGGGGCATTCGCAGCTGGAGCACGGGCACGCGCTGCTCCCCAAGGACCAACCTGTCACCCACGAAGTCCTCATCACCGGCACGACCGGGATCCAGTGGCGGCCCGTGCCCGTAGAGGTAGGTCGGCGCTCACGCTCCCCGCTGCTGGATGGGAAGAGACGTTCCCATCCAAATCCCATCCTGCACCAGCTCCTTTTTCC